CTCCATCCCCAACACTCTTCCTCCTCCTCTTCCTCTAGCCACCCTCCCCAACACTACTCACTCTTCCTCCTCCTCCAGCCCCCAACACTCCTCTTCCTCCAGCACTCCTCCGTTCCTTCCCAACACTCTTCCTCTGCCCTCCTTCTCAACCCTCCTCCCCAACACTCCTCTTCTTCTTCCTCCTCACTCCTCCTCCAGCCCCAACCTCTTCCTCCTCCCCCTCCTTCTCCAACCTCCCTCCCCAACCTCCTCTTCTTCCTCCTCACTCCTCCTCAGCCCCAACCTCTTCCTCCTCCCTCCTTCTCCAACCCTCCCTCCCCAACACTCCTCTTCTTCCTCCTCACTCCTCTCCCCCCAACCTTTCTTCCTCCTCCTCCCCTCCTTCTCCAACCCCCCCCCAACACTCCTCTTCTTCTTCCTCATCCTCCTCCTCCAGCCCCAACCTCTTCCTCTACCCCTCCTTCTCCAAACCTCCTCCCAACACTCCTTCTTCTTCCTCCTCCTCCTCCTCCAACCCCAACACTCTTCCTCCTCCTCCCCCTCCTTCTCCAACCCTCCTTCCCCAACACTCCCCCCTCCTCCGATATAAAAAGCCACATTTATAAACATTCCATCCATTAACGCCAAAAACAGTTCCTCCTCCTCCGCATAAGTCTGGAAGGAGCCAGAAAGTCAGTTTTGCTCTTAGGCCAAAGTAAATAAATTATAAAACAGTAATAGTAAGATCGTTCAGTGTATTGTTGTGCAGAGTGTGAGAGAGATTCAATTCCTGTGACTTTTGTGAGAGGGTGGATGGATGGATGGATGGGTGGATGGGTGGAGGTGGATGGGTGGATGGATGATTGGTGGGTGGAGAGGGTGGATAGTGGAGGGTGGATAGGTGGAGGGTGGATGGGTGGAGGGGTGGATAGGTGGATGGGTGGGTGGATGGATGGATGGGTGGGTGGATGGGTGGATGGGTGGATGGATGGATGGATGGGTGGAGGGTGGAGAGGTGGATGGTGGAGGGTGGATGGGTGGATGGGTGGGTGGATGGATGGATGTGGGTGGGTGGATGGGTGGATGGATGGATGGATGGATGGAGGGTGGAGGGTGGGTTGGTGGATGGGTTGATGGATGGATATGGGTGGAGGGGTGGAGGGGTGGATGGTGGATGGGTGGAGGGTGGGAGTGGATGGGTGGGTGGGTGGATGGGTGGATGGGTGGAGGGTGGGTAGGTGGAGTGGGTGGATGGATGGGTGATGGATGGGTGGATGGATGGATGGATGGTGGATGGGTGGGTGGATGGATGGGTGGATGGGTGGATGGGTGGATGGATGGGTAGATGGGTGGATGGATGGATGGATGGGTGGATGGGTGGGTGGATGGTGGATGGATGATGAGTGGATGGAGGGTGGGTGGATGGGTGGATGGATGGATGGGTGGTGGATGGATGGATGGAGGGGTGGATGGGTGGGTGGATGGGTGGATGGATGGGTGGATGGGTGTGGATGGATGGGTGGATGGTGGGTGGATGGGTGGGTAGATGGGTGGATGGATGGATGGATGGGTGGATGGGTGGGTGGATGGATAGATGAGTGGATGGAGGGGTGGGTGGATGGGTGGATGGATGGATGGGTGGGTGGATGGATAGATGGAGGGGTGGATGGGTGGGTGGATGGGTGGATGGATGGATGGAGGGGTGGGTGCGTGGATGGGTGGGTGGGTGGATGGGTGGGTTGGATGGGTGGATGGATAGATGAGTGGATGGAGGGTGGGTGGATGGGTGGATGGATGGATGGTGGGTGGATGGATGGATGGAGGGAGGGTGGATGGGTGGGTGGATGGGTGGATGGATGGGTAGATGGGTGGGTGGATGGGTGGATGGATGGGTGGATGGGTGGATGGATGGGTAGATGGGTGGATGGATGGATGGGTGTGGATGGGTGGGTGGATGGGTGGATGGATAGATGGTGGATGGAGGGTGGGTGGATGGGTGGATGGATGGATGGGTGGGTGGATGGATAGATGGAGGGTGGATGGGTGGGTGGATGGGTGGATGGATGGATGGAGGGTGGGTGGGTGGATGGGTGGGTGGATGGATGGATGGATGGGGGAAGGGTGGAAAGTGAGAATGGAAAGAAGAAATGAAGGGAAGAAAGAAGGTTACATGAATGGAGGGATGGAAGAAAGGAAGGGGAAGAAGGGGATGGATGGAAGAAGGAAGGATAGAAGAAAGAAAGGAAGGATGGAAAGAAAAAGAAGGAAAAGAAGAACGAAAAAAGAAGGGAAAAGAAGGAAAGAAGGAAAAATTTGGTTATGGAGGTTAAGTTAGGTTAGGTTAGGTTAGGTTAGGTTAGGTTAGGTTAGGTTAGGTTAGGTTAGGTTAGGTTAGGTTAGGTTAGGTTAGGTTAGGTTAGGTTAGTGTTGTAGAGTGTTTGAGTGAATCAGTGTGTGTGTGTGTGTTTGTCGTTTATCTATCTATCTATCTATCTACTATATGTTTATCTATCTATCTATCTACTATATGTTTATCTATCTATTATATGTTTATCTATCTGACGAGGACTCGGCAAAACTACAGGAAGATCTAAACAAATTTTTTGAATGGTCTGAAAAATGGCAGATGAAATTCAACGTCGACAAAAGTAAAGTACTCAGTATAGGAGATGTAAACAGGGAAACCAGATACCGATGAACAACGATGCCATAGAGAAATCCGACTGCGAGAGAGATTTAGGAGTAATGATAAGTAGAAATCTTAAGCCAAGTAAACAATGTGTTTTTGCTCGTAACAAGGCTAATAAAGTACTTGGGTTCATACAAAGGAGTGTTAGTTACAAGACTAGCGAGGTCATCCTAAAACTGTATCTTGCTCTTGTGAGACCACACCTGGATTCACTTAGTTCAGTTCTGGTCACCGTATTACAGAATGGATATAGAATCCTTGGGGAAAGAATTCAGAGGAGAATGACAAGACTAATCCGGGCATTAGGAACCTTGAGTAGAGACAGGTTAAAGCTTGTATCTTAATTTGCACTCCCTTGAGAGGCGTATTAGAAGCGAGGCGACCTGATAGAGGTGTATAAGTGGAAGGCAGGGCTAAACAAAGGGGACATTACAAAGGTACTTAAACTATCCAACCAGGAGCAAACTCGTAACAATGGTTTTAAATTAGACAAATTTAGATTTAGGCGTGAAATAGGTAAACACTGGTTTGGAAACAGAGTAGTGGATAAATGGAACAAGTTACCAAATATCATCATTAACTCGAATTCGCTGAATAGCTTCAAACATAGGTTGGATGCTTATATGAGCAATAGGGGTTGGGTGTAAACGGGACTGCCCAGTATGGGCCAATAGGCCCGCTGCAGTTTCCTCCATTCTTATGTTCTTATCTATCTATCTATCTACTATATGTTTATCTATCTATCTATCTATCCATCCACCCATGTAGTCCAGTTAAGCTGAAAGCATCAAGCCCTAACAAATAAAGAAGAGTTTCACCCAACACACACACACGGCCTTAACCTTAACTTAAAGCCATTATGTTAGCTGACCTTCACATCGCCTTAGTCTAGTGAGATTGAGCTGGAGTTTTTCCGCTTATCTCTGCATCGAGGTTAACTTTACAGTAATTGGGCCGCTTATCTCCTATCATTTACTGTTGAGCTTGTTTAAATACTGCACATTCGCACGAGCATTTATATACATATACAGTCATACGCTCTTACGTTCATTCAGACACACACTCGTACACTCACACAAACGTACTCTCTCTCTCTCTCTCTCTCTCTCTCTCTCTCTCTCTCTCTCTCTCTCTCTCTCTCTCTCTCTCTCTCTCTCTCTCTCTCTCTCTCTCTCTCTCTCTCTCTCTCTCTCTCTCTCTCTCTCTCTCTCTCTCTCTCCTGTTCCCCCATAATTAACAATCGCCATAAAGCTCCGCCATTCACCTGTACTCATATCCATTACTGTACGTTGTTCCACTCTTCTTCGTCATTATTCGTATTTTGACATTTTTCCCCCGTTTATTTCCCTTCCCTTCCCTTCCCTCATCTCCTTCGCTTTACCCTTTCTCCTCCCCCTTTACCTTCTCCTTTACCCCTCCACCTCTCCCTTTCCCCCTTCTCCTTCCTCCTCCCCTTTTCATTTTCCTTCTCCCCTCCTTCCTCATATCTCCCCCTCCTTACCTTCCTCCCTCTTCCCCTCCTCCTCCCCACCCCCTTCCCTCCTCCCTCCCCCCACCCCTCTTCCCTCCTCCCTCCCCCACCCTTCCCTCCTCCCTCCCCCCCACCCCTCTTCCCTCTCCTCCCTCCCCCACCCCTCTTCCTCCTCCCTCCCCCACCCCTCTTCCCTCCTCCCTCCCCCCACCCCCTTCCCTTCTAATATTTTTTGTCAAGCGATACATTTTAATTAATCGAATTATCCGTTATGGTGATGTTAAAATTTTTTTGTCTAAATTGAATTAAATACTTATATAAATTAAACTCGTGACGTTATTTGAAAGGGAGGCGATATATTCACTAATTAATTTATCATACTATATTTTACAAGCTGTTTGGGATTTATTTTTCACCACATTATTTATACGTTATCAATAAAATGGTCCTTATTTGATATTTATATATATGTCTAAAGATGAGGGATATTTAAGGTTATATCTGAATAGGGAATATCGTTTAATTAATTGAGGAATATCTATTTAATTCCCTGTTAGGTAGTATGTGAAGAGGTTTACCGGGAGAGAATCATCCCGGTTTTAGTGATGTAAAGAAACCCGGTGATCAGCTGATGTCAGTGTTCTATTCGTCGCTAAATTACCTTTGACGTCTTGCTTCAGGTGTGACTTTCTTAAACAATACCTGAGGCAAACAAACAACACTATAGATAAACAATAATACCAGTGACAATATTCAAAGTAAACACAAATAAATAAATTAAATATTAAATGTTAAAATAAATATATATTATACGGTAATATTGAAAGTCTTAATTTTTATTGTCTAACTTTCACGATAATTATGAACCAGTTCCTTGATTCACAAAAATTCCTAAGTCAAAATATCCTCGTAAGTTAATATTTAAGGTAATTAACTGACTATCTTTAACTCTAGGACATAATTACTATAACTTCTCTAATATCAGAATTATAATGTGACTTAACAAGCAATTAGTACAAGGAATTAGTACAAGCATTTAGTATCAGTAATTAGTACCAGTTAAAGAGGTTGGAAAAATTAATGTACTGAATCTTCCTTGAATTTTATACTCTGTCGTTTCCCCCAGGTGATTAAACGACCTAATTAGTGGGTTAATGGACAGGTTTTAATGAGGTCTTTATTCACCGAAGACTTTTATTTAGGTAGAGTTTTGCTTTTTAGTTATGTATGTATGTATGTATGTATGTATGTATGTATGTATGTATGTATGTATCAGGGTGTAGGAACTTTAAATGGGAGATCGTAGCCCTTGATAGACGAATCCTTCCTTCCTTCCTTCCTTCCTTTCTTCCTCCTCCTTCCCCATATCTCTCTCTCTCTCTCTCTCTCTCTCTCTCTCTCTCTCTCTCTCTCTCTCTCTCTCTCTCTCTCTATTATTTTGTTACGCTTTAATGGGGAAATTGGGATGAGATTCACTTTGGTTGTTTGAGGTAGAAGTTTTGGTTAGATTAGTTTTTGGTTAAGTTTGGTTAGTTTAGGTTAGTTTTGGTTTGGTTAGGTTAGGTTAGGGTTAATTTAGGTTCGGTTAGGTGGTGTTAGGGGTAGGTTAGGTTAGGTTAGGGTTAATTTAGGTTTGGTTAGGTGGTGTTAGGGGTAGGTTAGGTTAGGTTAGGGGTAATTTAGGTTCGGTTAGGTGGTGTTAGGGGTAGGTTAGGTCTGGTTTGGGGTAATTTAAGATTTGGTTAGGTGGTGTTAGGGGTAGGTTAGGTTAGGTTAGGGTTAATTTAGGTTTGGTTAGGTGGTGTTAGGGGTAGGTTAGGTTGGTTAGGGGTAATTTAGGTTTGGTTAGGTGGTGTTAGGAGTAGGTTATTAGGTTAGGTTAGGGTTAATTTAGGTTTGGTTAGGTGGTGTTAGGGGTAGGTTAGGTTAGGTTAGGGTTAATTTAGGTTTGGTTAGGTGGTGTTAGGGGTAGGTTAGGTTAGGTTAGGGGTAATTTAGGTTGGTTAGGTGGTGTTAGGAGTAGGTTAGGTTAGGTTAGGGTTAATTTAAGTTTGGTTAGGTGGTGTTAGGGGTAGGTTAGGTTAGGTTAGGGTTAATTTAAGTTTGGTTAGGTGGTGTGTTAGGGTAGGTTAGGTTAGGGTTAGGGGTAATTTACGTTTGGTTAGGTGGTGTTAGGGGTAGGTTAGGTCTGGTTTGGGGGTAAGTATTAGGTTTGGTTAGGTTAGGCGTTACCGGACAGCTGACGGGGCAGGAAATAGTGAAGGAGTCGAAAGTGTGAGAGTTTTTAGGAAAGAAGACATGTAATCTTCGCCAGGGGCCTCCTTCAGCGTCAGGAGAGGAGGATTTGTGTCAGCCTGGTGGACAAAGACGATGATAGTGCCAACCGTCTCGAAAGATTTATTTCTTTTTTTTTTTTACATTGAGTCTCCTTCACAACTTACCCCTCCCTCCCTCCACCCCCTTTCCCCCCTCCACCTCTCCTTCCCTCTCCCTCCTCCTCCCTCCTCCTCCCTCTCCCTCCCCTCCCTCCACCCCTTTTCCCCCCCTCCACCTCTCCCTTCCACCTCTCCCTCCCCTCCTCACCCCTTTTTCCCCCCCTCCCCTCTCCTTCCCTCTCCCTCCCTCCTCCTCCCTCCCTCACCCCACACCTCCCTCTCCCCTAAGCCTCCTCCCTCATTCCTTCCTTCCTTCCTCCTCATACAGCGGCACACCCATCACTCACCTCCTCACATGTGGGCCAATATACCAGTGACGCAAAGTACATACACCTATTTACTTTCAAAATGCAGGGGAAAATTGGGCCAGTTCTCACTATACCCATTCTCTCCTTGCCTTGACATTAACTGTACTAGTGGTGATGGTGTGTGTGTGTGTGTGTGTGTGTGTGTGTGTGTGTGTGTGTGTGTGTGTGTGTGTGTGTGTGTGTGTGTGTCGGTCATGTCGGTCATGTCGGAATGTTTGTCGAAAGTTTTGGTTCCGGTGTTGCCAACTGGAGGGTCATTGGAATTGTATTTGTTTTTGTGTGTTTATGTTTGTGTTTATGAGTCAATAACATCACAGTTGTTGTTGTATGTTTACTGCGACAACTACCACAGCTGTTAATAGCATCACAGTTAAAAATGTTAATTACCGGCACCACAGTTAATATCAATACAGTTAACATGTTAAATAATGAATGGTACAACTAAAAACAATCACCAAAATCACAGTAAACTTGTTAATAATACACCACAACAATCACTTACATCATAGTTAACATGTTAAATGATAATAACGCCCTAGTTAACATGTTAATTAATGACAAGATCCACATAACAGGCTATAACACCACCATTATTAAATTAACTGTAATGACTAAGCCATAACCGCACTGAATATGTTAATAATGATTTTATCTACTTGATGGGATGAAGTGAGTAGCTGGTGGTGACGTCAATGGGTGGTGGTGACGTCAGTGGGTGGTGGTGACGTCAGTGGGTGGTGGTGACGTCAGTGTGAGGAGGTTGAGGTTCATAGGTAGTGAAGGGGAGGTATAGAGGTAAGGTAGGGGGAACGAGGGGGGGAGAGAGGTGAGGTAAGGTAGAAAGGAGGAGGAAGAAGGAGGCGAGGTGAGGAGGAGTAGGAAGTGATGAGGTGAGGTAGGAGGGACGGTGCACAGGGTAATGAGGGCTAATAGCAGATTACATACACCAGGGACGGACTCACCACCAATGGCAAATTAATTATTGACAGTAGTAAAAACGTGTGGTGGGGAGAACTCCTATAAGGGGTAGAGGTTGAGTGTTAAAAAAAGTTCAGTTTGGGGAGTTGAAGTCGGATCAAGATGGTGATCGGGTGAGTCAGTGTTGGGTCGGGTCAGTGGTGGGTCGGGTCGGTGGTGGTGAGGTCGGATCGGGTCGGTGATCGGGTGAGTCAGTGGTGGATCGGGTCAGTGGTGGGTCGGGTCGGTGGTGGTGACGCCGGATCGGTACAGTAAAGGTTCGAGTTGTGGCTTTGAAGGGTTGGATCGTGGTAATGAAAGAGTCGGATTGGACAGGACTTAGTGAGGTATTGGTGGTAAGGACTGGGTCGAGGGGGTATATAGATGTTTTTAGATCATTATTTTACAACTACTGCTACTACGACTACTACTACTACTTTACTAGTACTTCTGTTACTACTTCTACTTTTTTATTATCATGGCCTCCAGCCTCCCCCAATAGCCACACCTTCGCCGCCATTTTATTGCCTTAAAATTAAATATCTTAATACATAAGTAGCTATCCTAGCTGTGTTGAGTTAGTTGAGCCGCAGATCTATACGGCATTCAGTGACTGTTGCCTCATAGTCAATATCTACGACCGTTGTCGACTTTGGGGCCGATGATCTCGTTCCCCTGAGGTAAAGCAATGCAGACGTAACTTCTTGGCTGCTGCTTCCGTTCAGATAACACTTCCGCGAGTCTGGCATAGAAACATCTTGCACTTGGTCCCATCCCACCAGAGGATTGAAGCTACCCTGATCAACATTTTGAATTCTCTCCCAATATGCCCTATTCTTGTCATTCTCGTTCCTCTTGTGTACAGCATCGAGAGCTAGGTTACGGTGACATGCGGCCATGGGGTGGAAAATCCTTCTGTCAAGGAAGGCTCGCTGTCCCCGCCTCCAGAATCTTCGTTAGATGTGTTTCAAATCCTGTGATGGAAAATTTCACCGTCCAATGAAAGGAGGGTCGTTTCCACCGTGACATCATGGCAGATTTCCTTCAACATATTTGCTGTGAGGTCCCTTACTTCGTCATGCCTCAAGCAATGAAGCCCTCTTTCTTACACACCATGGCGTGGCCGATGTCGTAGGATGAGCCACACACGCATTGGGAGGGCAAACCTTCTATTGGCCTACCATACCTCCTCCTCCTCCTCCTCCTCCTCCTCCTCCTCCTCCTCCTACTACTACAAGTCTAGGAAGAGCCGTCGCTTATATTGGCCAGTCACAAGTGAATACATTTTTCTTTGTCAGTGAATTAGTGAGTCAGTTTGTGAGTAAGACATATATATAGCTGGTGGCACAGGTGATACAGTCAATAATCAACTACTGTCACCTCTGTATAGCGTAAAAGAGTATTAGTAATTGAGGTCAAACGAGTAAACCAGATATTAACGGGGTCACAATATTGAACCTCATAGGAAGAGAGGTCACAATTTTGAACCCTGCAATAAGAGAGGTCATAATATTGAACCCCGTAATGAAAGAGGTCACAGAAATATAAAAATAGACCTACAAAAGATAAAATATTTCCCCTATGTAAACTAAAACCATCTACCTGTTTCTGTAGTGAAGATCTAATAATCACCACGAGCTTTAAACAAACACTCAAGTAAAACAGTAAAATAAACACAAGTCTTAAACCATGGATTATTGTCAAAAGGAATGATATATTAATTTAACTACACACACACACACACACAAAGCAACACCAAAATTTACGAGGTAATGTTTTAGAGTGCGTCCGTTCGTTTGTCTGATTTACGATACGATTTCCACAAGGAGGGAGAGAAAGACGCGGGTTTGTTATTACACATCAATATCTGGTTGTGCTTGGCTCTTCTTGTTAAGTATTGGCCACCTGTTGTTCTCAGGTGATAGGTTGGGGGGAATTTATGGGAGTGGTGATAATAATTTTAGCAATAGATTAAGTGAAGGAAGGAAGAGACATATATTTCACCGCAATGTGATAGAAGGGACAATTATTTCACCATAATATGAAAGAAAACATTTATTTCACCACAATATGAAAGAAGACTCAGTTATTTCACCACAATATGAAAGACGACTAAATTATTTCACCACAATATGAAAGAAGACAAGAGCTATTTCACCACAGCATTCCTACCACAGCTACAATTCACCACAGTCTGGAATTTCGTGAA